CAGGCCGCTCCTGCGAGGCTGGTCTGCGAGCTCACAGCTCAACTCTGTCTGCGTCTGTCCGCGTCTCCTCAGAACTCTCCCAAACTCTAGGAACTGCCGTCTACTCGTTGTGACTGTTTATATGGACGCCGACCAAAACCGGGTGTGGCCTGTCGTGGTTTGGGTTCCTCGATAATTCTAAATCCACAATAAGGATTTTCTTTGTTTTCGGACAGGAAAATTTATCACATTCCATTTTTGGAAGTCCATTACTTTCTGCTTTAGAGGGGTTCTTAAGGGAATCGTCCTCCCAAAATCTTCCTTTCTCATATTGGTATCTCACATCAATCCCCTCAGAGGGCGTCAACAGGTTTCCCTTCTTTCTCATAGTGGTATCTCACACCAATCCCCTCAGAGGCGTCAACAGGCCTCCCCTCCTTCTCATATGTTTAACTTCGCCCACCGCTCACGCCACCACTCAGCCAATGACGCTCGGCAGCGCGGGTGTTTACAATTATCGCTCAAAGGAAAAAAATTATCTTCCTTTTTTCTTTTCTTTCCTACACCAGACCCCTACGATTCGTAGTGTGGTCCTTAATCTCTATCTTAACCGAATGTCATCTGGAATTTATCAACGAGATTTTCACCAGCGTAAAATAGGTGGTCAACTGGACGTCTTCGCACCCTGTCGCCAATTATCTGTCCCGGTAACAAACTTTTATCATGTCCAGGTCTGAACATAAAACAGGTGTCTTTTCAAAACCAAATGATATCTCCAAAAGATAGTTAATGGTTTATTCTTTCCCTTTCTCTCTGGGGTGGCCTCAGCTGATGCCTTTTTCGATCAGTGCGTGACCTGATTACGATTATCTTCCAGCTTCTGTTTGATAGGCCACTTGACCAATTTGAAATTTTCATGATTGCCGTGGGCAGATTACTATCTTTTATTCGCCGCGTCATAGCATAAATTAATTCCGACAGATCCGAGATCTTACGAATTTCCTATCTTTCGCGGAAAAAAATACTTTTTTTTCGCAAATGAAAATAAAATCTTTACCACTTTTCTTTGTTAAAAAAAATAACATCGCTCAGTATGTCTTTCGTGATAGCTTCTTCTCGCTTTAAATATTTCTCGCTTTTAATTTTCACGCAACTGCTAAATAGTGTCACACACACACTCATATATATATATATATATATATATATATATATGGGGCGTTTATATCAAATGCAAAACATCCACTGTAGTAATGATTAAGTGATATATATATATATATATATATATGTGTGTGTGTGTGTGTGTGTGTGTGTGTGTGTGTGTGTGTGTGTGTGTGTATTTTGGTTTCATTGAAGACGAGTGACAAGGTAATGCCATTAAGTTTTTTATCATATTTTATTGCTGTCGTACAACTGACTTATTTTTGAACAGGCCTAACGATTGTTTTTAGCATGAAACACTTTGTCGCCTCTGGATGTTGACTTCAGTGTCCACTTTTATATTTACAGTTGCCCTATACGTGGGATATATACCTTGGAAATATATTTTTTTTTCTCTCACACACACACACACACACACACACACACACACGTGTGTGTGTGTGTGTGCGTGTAAAATTAGATCAACCACTACCCCGACTGAAAATCGCCTGAAGATACCGAAACCGGCTTATCTCCTAAGTTTTTATACTTAAAAGCTCTACATGTTAAAGTTTTTTTTTATTTTTATTTTTTATACGTGTATTGAGCACGTTTTAATACTACTGTTTCCTCATTTAATTCAACTTTGACCATTAAATTTTTCAGTTATTACGTTTGAAGTTTAAGTTAGATGCTGTTAAATGTACAATCTAAGATATATTTTTACAAACATTGGGGGCTGGTTCCTGACATCCAAACCTGGTAAAATGTCTATATAAATATATGTCCAAAAGGCCATCATTGTTGTATCTCAGGACAGCAACTCATAACAAATGTTCAAAATGTCCTCCGCTTGCGTTTACACACGCATTGAACTGGCAGACCCTTTTAAATTCTCCTACACGGTTTCGAATAGTTTCGTAGGACCCCATGACACGTTGATGAAGCGTCTCTGCGTTATTAATGCCTGCTGCATAAACCAATTGTTTTGGCTGGTCCAAAAGACAAAAAAAATCCAAAGAATTTTGGTCGGAGGAACGTGCAGCCCATGGAACCGTTTCTCCCCTACCCATCAATCTCTTATGGGAGATGTTAACAAGTACATCGCGAAAAATGTGCTGGAGACCCATCGCGCATGAACTACATGTGTCTTCGTATTAGCAGGAGAACATCCCCTATCAGCTCTGGAAGTGTGTTCGAAATAAAGTCCCTGTAGATAGATGCTATAAAACGTACTGGGAGAATATATGGGCCTACCAGACAGTCACCTACAATTCCAGCCCACATATAATAAACTTAAGCTGATGCTAGTACCTAGCCTATGTGGATTCCGATCCGCCCACAAATGTTGTCTGTGTAAATTTGTTATTCCATCTCTTCCAAACGTTGCCTCATCCGGAAATAAGACTGAAGAAGCAAACAACGGACCGGCAATTTGTGCAATAAACCATCACAAAACGTTATCCCATGGTGAGTGATCAGAAGGCGAAAGATCCTGCGCCCGTTGGAAATGATACGGATACAAGAGCTACTCTTGAAGTATCCTCCATACGGTACTATGTGATGTACGACATTCTAGGGACACTTGACGTGTGCTATGATAACTAGATCGCCACCGACAGCCTGTAGATTGAGTTATTCGTAGTCAGGCGTACGAGCGGGTCTCAGTCTTCCGTAATTTGTGGTGTTACGTATTCTCCCTCAGCAACACGACGATGAACAACAGCAAGGGTTAAATGATTCGGCTGCCTTCGGACTGGAAACGCAATCTGATGATGCATTGCCATTCGAGCACCCGTATGTAAATATCACATCTGCCTGCTCACGATATGAGTATCCTGCCACTGTTAAACGGAACACTTCCCAATGAACTTTCTACTACACACGTTAAACGTTGAAGACAGCCTAGCCACAAATGTACACGAATGACAAATGTAACATAGTCTACATCGAAAAACAGCGCCATCTACCGTAAACTTTCTTTTGACTTAATAACTCAAAAAGGAAGGATTTACGGAGATATGTTTATGTGGACTTGTCCTTGTTTTGGTTTGAGGAATCCGCTCCCAAATTCTGATACACCCTGTGTATATTTGTTATTTATTATTTACATTTATCTTACTTCTCTAAATAAATTATATTTTTGTTGCTATATATATATTGAAAATAGGTATTAAATCCGAGTGAATGATTGAATAAAGAGCAAACTGGAAATCTTTTTAAACTTACAAGAATTATTATTATTATTATTATTATTATTATTATAAATTAATATTAGATAGATGTTCAGCGTTAGCGGTTCGGAAACCTTTTGGGTGATTACTGCATTGGGCGAGTAAGTTAGCTATGGGACATTGTCACCTAGATCGATTTCCTGTCAGTGATCCCAGGAGGATCTTTATGATGAATCATTTATTTATCACCGAGAGTTTAATGGTTAACTAACCTAGTCTAATTGGCTATTACTGTTGACTCTTCTTCTTCTTCTTCTTCTTCTTCTTCTTCTTCTTCTTCTTCTTCTTCTTCTTTTATTGTGGAACAATTCCCGTATTTTTATTGATTTACCTCCGAGGAGTTTTTTTTTTCTTCTCTTTATTCTACACTACAAATCCTTTTGAAATCCATTATTGTTGCAAAAGTAAATAAGAAGAGAAAAAACAAATTAAGAAACGAGGCCCACTTCGTTTGCTTAGAAAGCTTTAATTGTTTTGACGCCTGCGTACCGACCAGCATTTAAAACGCTCAAAGTTAAAAGCTTCTTTTTAAGGATTGTATTCCATTCGTGGAAATCACGCCAAGTGTAAATGTAATTTGTAGCAAATCAAGTCAGCCTCTAAATGTTGCTGGCCTCAGTATTGAGGAAAACTTTTTTTTTCAGAATCAGTTTTCGAGATTTCATGTCAAACCCGCATTAAAAAAAAATACTCATAAAAACGGACATGGTTTTTGCCTGACATTTTTTTCGACGATTTATTTTGATAGTTCTCCGTTTGTTGGTTCGAATTAAAATCCTCAACATTGTTTACTTATTTTTTTTTTATTGACGAAGTTTTAGTTCTTGTATTTTCTGTGTCTATTTAGATTTTCTGTGTCTATTTAGATTACTGATTTAGTTTGTTTTTCTGAGAAACTAAAAAGTGTAGATTTTGAGGATATGTAGGATAGATAACGATTGACTTTGTATTTGAACAAGTTAAGCTTGTAATGATCGGAAAAGCAACCTGTCAGTATCAGCTCTTGGAAGAAAGCTATTCAAATGAGGAAAGAGAGTTTGGAAAATTAGACACTATTCACATGGCACATTGAAAGCTAGAGGGACGGAGAAAAAACGGGAAGTAACCCACCTAAAAAACCAGTATAAATGGATATCAGACCAGGAAGAATATTAAAAAACGATTGCTAAAAGCTACCAAAATAGGATGTTGTGGAAAGGCATGATCGTCATGACTCGAAGGGGCACAATGAATAAAAGATGAAGATGGAAGCACTATTTAAGTAAAGAGAGTAATGAGCAGAGATTGATGAGGGAAAGGTTTTGATGGTGTTAAACCTGACATATTATTATTATTATTAAGATTAATAATAATAATAATAATAATAATAATAATAATAATAATAATAATGTGTCGTGTATTTATTTGTTTTGCTCGTAGACCGACCGATTCAATCCGATTATCGCCCACCATTCTTTTCCAGGCTATCTGGATCGAGACTTATAATTTTGCATTACTGGAAATGTCAACCGGATGAGGCCGGAAATAGATGATGCCAATCTTTGAGGTGAACACTCCATTTTATTCTTTCAATGAAACATACCGAGGAAATGTCATGAATGAGCCGACAAATGTTCTAATACGTGAGGAGGGTGCTGGAATGTTCTTGACTCAATCTGCTTCACAAAACTTCTCCACATAACTTGATAGATAGATAGATAGATAGATAGATAGATAGATAGATAGATAGATAGATAGATAGATAGATAGATATGACGAAACTCTGAAAGAAAGAATAATGTAGCAAGATAGATAGATAGATAGATAGATAGATAGATAGATAGATAGATAGATAGATAGATAGATATAACAAGACAGTGAAAGAAAGTACAAGAAAGAAAGAAAGATCTTCACAAGATAGATAGATATCAGACTGAGATAGATAGATAGATAGATAGATAGATAGATAGATAGATAGATAGATAGATAGATAGATAGATATAACAAGACAGTGAAAGAAAGTACAAGAAAGGAAGAAAGATCTTCACAAGATAGATAGATATCAGACTGAGATAGATAGATAGATACATAGAACAAGACTATGAAAGAAAGTGAAAGATTTTCATTAGATAGATAGATAGATAGATAGATAGATAGATAGATAGATAGATAGATAGATAGATAGAATTTTTCGCGCCCCTCCTATAACTAAGTTACACGAAATAATAATAATAATAGTAGTAGTTGTAGTAGAAACGTCAGAAACGATAGCAAGATAAACCTCTTTACGGTCAATACTCTGTCCGTAACAAACAAACCCCGTCCTCATCAGTAACTACGTAGTGCAGAGTAAAAAGCTGAAGCTGAAGGACCAATGCCTGTTAATTGGAAATTACCAAGCGCACATACTTAAAAATTGTGTATATTTATCACAGGTTCTGTGATAAATATCCAGAAACGACTGAACATCTTGTATCAGGTTGCACGGTATTGGCACCCGCTGAATATAAAACCCGACATGACAGAGTGGCCCAATATCTGCATTGAAAAATCTGCAACTTCTACGGAAAGGAAACTGAAAGAATGTGATATGAACACCACCCAGACCCGGTTACAGAGATAGGACCTGTAACAATTTTATGGGAATTCCCAGTACATACAGACAGATCAATCAAGGCTAATCACCCCGGCTTCGTGATTAGTGAACGCAAAGATAAAAGGTGTTTTCTTATTGACATGGCAGTCCCTGCAGACAACAATGTATCTTTGAAGATCTTCAAAAAGCCATCAAAATACAACGACATTGAACTCGAAATCTCCAAAATGTGGCACCTGAGAACATCAGCAATTCCAATTCTAGTTGGAACACTCGGATTGATTGGAAAAGATTCCAGTAGACATATTGAATGAATTCCTGTTAGCCCATGCCTCAAAGAAATTGTTCTCTCGAGTACAGCCAACGACTTATGAAGGGCTTTATCTATGTAAAATATAGTGTTCAGGGCTTCGGTATTACAGGACGATTATTTGATTTAATCCGATCCTTCCTGTCTGACCGAGAAATGATTGTTGTTCCAGTTCCTCCCATACGAAAGCTGATGTTTCTCAAGGCTCTATCCTTGGTCCTACATTGTTTGTGATTTTCATCAAGGATCTTCCTGATGTCATCAGATCACAAGTAAGCATATATGCAGACGACACAACCATTTATTCCTGTCTCAATAGTAAATCCGACATTGCTGACAAAGTTAATATGGCCGTTGGTCTCGAAAACGACCTCCAATCTGTGATTGACTGGGGCAAGAAATGGCTTGTGAGTTTGAATACATCCAAAACGAAACTGTTATCATTTACTCACCATAGAGAAACGTCCCTGCCTCTTATCAGCATGGTTGATGCTCATTTTCACGAGAGTGCTTCACTGCGCCTTCTTGGTCTCACGTTTTCCGTTGACCTGAGAAGGAACACTTACAGTGAATCAATAATTGATTCTACCGCAAGAAAAATTGGTTCTCTCTGACGCGCCAGAAGGTTTTTTTCTCGTCAGATTCTATCCTTCACATCTACAAATCTACCATTCGTCCATACATGGAATACTGATGCCATATATGGTATGGTGGCTCTGTTGTTCATCTTGAGGTTCTCGACAAAATCCAAAGACGGATATGCAATGTGATCGGTCCTGACTTAGGATCTCGACTCCAGTCACTTTCTCACAGACTTTTCCACAAATATTTTCATTGTTTTGAGCTATTTTCACTGGTGTCCAGTTCTCTATGAAGTGTCCTACTTGGTTGGCAACTCGGTCCCACCCTTTTACTGTCGATACAGTTAAATGTAACCGCCTCTTCTACTCCAACAGTTTATTCTCTTGCACTTCTCGACAGAAAAGCTCCCTTCCTCTTACTTACTGAAAACTATAATCTTCAAAAACTTAAATATCGATCGACATCTTCTGATGACTTGATCCCTGTTCTTCTTTTTATCCTTTCCTCTATCCCCCCCCTATACCCAATCTTTTCTCTTTCACATTCTGTAGACCCTTGCGTACTAGTGCCACTTCCGCCTGGCTTGGGTTGAAATGCGTATAAAAATACTTTCATGGTAATTGTTTAGATGAGCTCTTCACTTTATGAGTTTAAGCACAGTACTAGGCTGTCAAAAAGGTCTC